AAAATGTGAAAAACCCGTTCGTTTTTCTTCGGTAAACTTCGTTAGATCAAAATTTTTTGTCATTTCTTAGTTCAAAAGTTAATTTTTCAGCCCACACAAGCTAATGTACCAGAAGAGAATACGAAATAGCTGTTCGTTTTCGTTCGTAAAACTTCGGCTTGTAGATAGATCCAAATTTGTTGCTATCTTTCGTTTACAAAATTTGCTTTTAAGCCACATAAGCTCTCAATTCACCAAAAAATGTAAAAGTGCCCTTCGTTTGCTTTCGTAAAATTTCGACTTTCGGATAGATCCACATGTTTTGTTAATTTTTGATTCAAAAGTAAAGTTTTCAGCCCACACAAGCTAATTTATCAGAAGAGAATATGAAATGCCTGTTCGTTTTCGTTCGTAAAACTTCGGCTTTAAGGTAGATCCAAATTTTTTGCTATCTTTCGTTTTCAAAATGTTGCTTTTAAGCCACATAAGCTCTCAATTGACCAAAAAATTTTAAAACTCACTTCGTTTGTTTTCGTAAAACTTCGACCTTTAGATAGATTCGTAAAACTTCGGCTTTGAGGTTTACAAATGTAGTTTTCAACCCACACTAACTAATGTAACGAAAAAAAATACGAAAAGTCTGTTCGTTTGCCTTCGTTTGCCTTCGTATATCTTCGGCTTAAAGGTAAATACGAATCATTCATTATTTTTTTATTAAAAATTGTGGTATTTAACCCTCATTATATGTAGTATTAATAAAAAGAATGAAAAATAAAAAGCACAGATCATTTGGTAAAAAAGGTGAGATTAAAAGTTAGGTTAGGTTAAAGACTGCAAACCTTCCATATATATACAGCGGACTTCTATCATAAATAAAATATACTGTAAATCATTTAGACTTTTTATATGTAGCATATTTACGGCCTGTATACCATAAATGACCACTATCTGCTTCCTTTATCTTACTTCCACTTTGCTGCAAAACCTTTACCAATCTGCCTTTCACAAGTCAAAAGGCTTGTCGCTAATATTTCGCACCCACTACACACATAACGCATATAAGCAAATAGGTAGCAAACATCTGCATAAATTATCTACTTTTTGTTGATATTCGAGATCATTGTAAAGGTGTTAAAATATGAATAGTGCATAGGTTATGCGGCAGGTGAGCGAAATAGCTACGAGATAAGAATACCGGAAGTAATAGATAATACACACACATATGTACATTTTTATGTAAGTAATACCTTTATTTATGTAAGTAATAAAATTATGTGTTTATAAAGGCTTTCTTTAAATAGTAGCCTATCTGTAGGCGCAGAAGGTTTTCTAATGATCACGAAAGATATATTTTTAACACAACTGTACTGTTTGAGTTAATAAATCAATAAATGCAATGATTTAGTGATTTTGAAACACAATATTATGTTTACTATGAGAAGTTACAGTTTTATATAGCATACTTTTAGGCAATTTTTTAGATAAATCAATATATTGAGTATATTTATCAACAGTTATTACTATTTTATTGATTTATGTGTATGTTCTTTGAAAACATCCAGAACTACGTAGCATACTTTTAGGCGCATCTTGAGAAAAACTTATGCATTGAACCATATTACCATAAGAAACATCACCTAAGTAAATATATTATAAAATATTTTTGAAACGCAAATCAGTTTCTGCAGTTACTGCAAAAATTCTCTAAATTTGTAGGATATTTTTAGGAGCAAATATAATTTATAATAGTTTTTAATGGAAAAACATAATAAAGACTCTACACTAATGCTCAATATTAATTCTGTAACCGACTTGCGTCCACTTTCAGCGAAACCAGAGCAACCAAACCAGTTTTAGGATTTTAATACCAGTTCCTAGACTTTGCTACGACTCAAGTAGAGACCGGACTTGATTTTTTTCCTAAGAATCGAAGTATTAACTGCGGTAACTTCTCTCCAACGCCTTTTAAGCTAGCTGTTGATAGCTTTACCCTTTTCTAGATGGTCGATAAAAATTATGCTAAGAACTATATTTTAAAACTTTTTTTCCGAGCTAAAAAGCTTCGAAGTCTCAAAAAAAGCTCTTCAAAATCGTTGATCTCAAACCAACTATTCGTTAAAGCGCATAATTTGTCTTACTCCATTCCATCATTATAACTATTTATTCATTTTGACATTTCCATCCGTTTAACGGTAAAAGAAAACACCACAATGGGTGGTCCAAGTAGGCCCGAAGCGAGAGTTGCTATTGTTTTGTTTGCAAGTTACAAATGTGCAAATATTGTTGTTGTGAAAATTGTTGTTACACAGACAAGCTCATACATATTCAAATATGTGGAAGGGTTGCTTGCTTTTGCGCCTATTGTCCTGTCAGCTCGCAAAGCTAACGTATCCCCACAGATTGTTGATATGAGCATGTACATATGTATTGTAGTTGTTGTTATTGGCCGCCTGTGTAGCCCATTATGTTATCTTTGTATATATGCCTAGTGTTTGCTATTGTTGTTTTGTAACTACTATTATAGGCCAATGCAAAAGTTTATGTTCGCCTTCTTTTATGGAGACTTTTGTTTATGTGAGTGTGAGTGTGTGTGTGTATGTGTGATTATTTGCCCATGCGCATAGTTTGACATTGTTGGAAAACTATAAATTTTAGAGCAATGAAAGAAAAACACATAGATGCTCATGAACACTTGCAAAGCTGAGGCTAAGGGGGGTGTTTGGGGTACTGGAACGCCTTATTATATATACACCGAGCTGGGTTCCCAAATTGTCTAGTTTTCCAATATAAACCCATCCGCAGCTAGTCTGAAAATCCGAATTATGTTTGGAACTGCTTCAGCCTTGTATTCAGATTTGGATGTCTATTTCTTTCCTAGCCTATAATTGTTCATAAAAAGGGAACTTGAACCCCATCAGGTTTTGCGATATACTCGTATTGTACATCGTGATCCCCTTTTAAGCTCCTATTCACTGCACTTTTGTCTAATCATATTAATTTTCATTATTCATTGTAGCTGTCCAGGAAATCGAAATTGCGGTCGAAACATTTTGATCATGCTTTATAGGAGAATTTGACCCGGAATCGGTTTAGATTTATAGACTGAAGCGGTGCTGGAAATGAGTGAGGATGTCTAAATTCTGGAATAAGAAATATGCTGTGTTTGGTACGAGGCTTCGAACTCGCTTAGCTGCTTTCAAATCAATTTCTACTGTCCAGGGAAACAAAACTGGGTTCAGAACATGCTGATCATCCAGTATGAAGCCAGTCTGACTTGGTAATACTATAATGTGTGAGGATATCCACAGAATTTTAGACGGTCTTCGTTTAGGTTTATACACAGAAGCGATGCTGTAAATCCTTTGATCTTCGAATATGACACAAGCTCTTTATATACCTAGTCCGGAACTAATCTAAGGCTAACCTCCCTGAGGCACGGATTTCGTGCTCTGAGATTGTATGAGCTATTACAAATCCGCGTTGAAGCAATGAGTCCACTTTGGTGTCACATTTCGGATAGAACATAGAGATAGTCTATTGTCTTCACTCTTTAGTCGATTGCTTTGTTGTCAACAAGTAAGAAAGTAGTCTGAGAAGTGATAAGCTGAAATTAAATAGTCCAAATATACTTCCAGACTTCCAAGTGAAAATAAAACATAACGGCGAATATTCAAAAGTACTTCTTTAAGATATCTGAACATATATCAGTTACTTCGTGCATCTTAAGCAAGTCTGATATTTCGGAAACGACTTTTTCATACGTAGAACGATCAAAAACGACACATTTCGGCGGTTTTGAAGCTCTATCCCCATTTTAAGAGAAAAATCTCTACCAAACTTTTTTCGTATGTGACTTTTTCTTGCGAAGAAACTTGCATTTTGATTCTAAGTTTACAATCAATGAGTTTCTTGCATTTTTAACGGAGCGCATAAGGTTCCAGAACCAAGCGAGATCATAAGCTCTGCAAACCCCCCTTTTGTGAAGCGTTCACTGGCAACTTATATGTATATGTTTTATGTTTTCCCTCCAAAACTCCCCATAATACATACACGCTTTTCTATATTGTTACTCAGTTCCTTCAGTTTTTACTCGTGTGTCGGTGTGCAAAAAGTTTAATTTGCTTTGTTCTATCGACGGGCGGTCTTCCCATTTATTTATCAACTCCCATTTTCGTGGGCTTTTTGCCTTACTTTACGGAAATTGTTTTCCTCGGTTTTTGTTTTTGCTCTTGCTGCTGTTATTTAAATGCGCAACGTCGTGTGTTGACGATTAATTATAATTTTAAATGGCATTAATTTCATATTAAACTTGTGACCACAAAGGGGTTGAAAGCGGAGTGAATGAGACAGAGCGAGAGAAGAAGAGGAAACAAAGTGTGAAGGACGAAAGAATGCGTGTGAGCACAAGGTACTGGTAAGCAATGAGCAAGCGATTAGAGCTTGAGCAACTGGTCATTCATGCAGATGAACACGGACTAACATAAAGACGTGATGCTTTAAGGACCAAACATAAAAAAACCCACAGTCCCTTTTGTTTATTTTAATTACAGATTCCAGAAAATGGAACCTAGCGTAAGCTTCGTTGTACCGATTTATTAGTCCATGATTTGCCATCTTGATTCGAGAGCTAAGTAGACTGCAAAGCAAAGGTATTCTCACAAGATATTTTCAATAAGGAGGCGAGGAATGATATATAATATTTGCTCATTTCTCATCACGGAATATTCCATTCTTAATGAACCCGATAAATCTATGAAGCTTTCGAGATTCCAAAACGTTTTCTCAGTACAAAGCGGTTCAGTTGAAAATACGTACATATATCGATTCTTTCCTTTAGATCTCAAATTAAAATTTATGCAGAACAATACCTTATTTTACTCTTGAATTCAAAAACTACAATCTATTTCAAACCCATATGTTATTTTTCACTTTAAAAATTGTTTTGAAATTGCTATTAAAATTTCTCACAAGGCTACCAATTTAAAACTGTGAATGATACCGCATACTCAACAGCTGACTCTTGACTTAACGACAGCTGTGAATTGCACAGCTGTCCAATTGAAGAACAAGCATCATAACAATTGCTAACTTTTCTACGCATTTTGTGCACGTGTTGAATTTTAATAAATTTTCTTATTAAAAGTGTTTATAACAAGTTCAAACCAATAAATATAGAAAGATGAGTAAGAAAAGTAAAACAAAGTCTGGCGATCTTGGGCGCGCGTTGATAAAAAACCGCTTTGGCCACCAATTTCGACGTAAAGTGGACAATGACACTATGGTAAGCAAATGAGTTAACAAAATGAATATATTTTACTTATAATTTAATATTATTACAACTTCGTAACAGCTGCACACTACCGAAATTCAGGATGGCTACGACTGGGGTCGCCTCAATTTGGCCTCAGTCACTGAAGAGTCATCATTTCATGATTTTCTGCGCACCGCCGAGCTGGCGGGCACGGAATTTCAAGCTGAGAAACTCAATATTACTTTTATCAATCCAAAATCCGGCGTTGGTTTACTCTCTAAATCACAACAACAGCAAATGCAGCAAAAGCATAATGAACACAAGAATATGTTGACAGTGCCGCGTCGCCCGAAATGGACGACAGAAACAACGGGGGAAGAGTTGCAACTCGCTGAAAACCAAAGCTTTTTAGAGTGGCGTCGCTCCTTAGCGCTGCTACAAGAAGATCAAGATATACTGCTCACACCATACGAAAAAAATTTGGAATTCTGGCGTCAATTATGGCGTGTTGTTGAACGTTCCGATGTTATTGTACAAATTGTGGATGCACGTAATCCGCTACTCTTTCGCAGTGTCGATTTGGAGCGTTATGTAAAGGAAGTGAATCCGGCTAAGATGAATATGATATTAGTGAATAAATCAGATATGTTGACGCAACAACAACGCCAGCACTGGGCGAGTTATTTTGATGCTGAAGGCATACGTACTGCATTCTTCTCTGCCACGCTAGCTGCGGAGGATTTAAAGAAAGTCGTTGAAGAAACGAGTGATGCGGAGAATGATAGTGAAAATGCGGCTAACGATAGTGACAATAACGAGACAGCAAGCGATGCGGATGGCGAAAATGACAGTGAAACGCCGGCAGATAAGCCACGCACAGAATCTACACAATCGGAAATATCATTGGAAGAAATTAAAGTTGCTGCCAGTGAAATCAATAAATCATTAGACAATGTGGAGAATTTGTTAAACAAAATAGAGCAAAAAATCGATCCAAAACCGGCGACAGCTAAGGAAGTAATCAAAAATAATCCAAAAGTGTTGACGCGTGAAGAACTCATTGCTTTGTTTAAGAAAATCTACACCGGTAAGACGTTCACAGAAGCCGTTACGACCATTGGTTTGGTGGGCTATCCGAATGTGGGCAAGAGTAGCACCATCAATGCATTGATGATTGAAAAGAAGGTGTCCGTTTCAGCCACGCCGGGTAAAACAAAGCATTTTCAAACGCTTTACTTGGATAGCGATTTGCTGTTATGTGATTGTCCCGGTTTGGTAATGCCAAGTTTTGTTTTGACCAAGGCTGATATGATACTGAACGGTATACTGCCAATAGATCAGGTGTGTGGGCGCTTATCTTAAAGTTTTTCATAATTTTTCTTTATTTTTATAATTTTATTTAATTTTTTTTTTTTTAATATTTTTTTTTTTAAATTTTGTATTTCTTTTAAGTTTTTTTTTTAATTTCTTTATAATTTTTCTGTATTTTTTTTATTTTTTTTTTGCTATAAAATTTTATATATCTTTTTAATTTCTTTTGTATATATACATATATAAATTTTATATATGTTTCTTAGTTTTTTTATACTGGTTTTCATATATACAATTTTTAATTTAATTTTTATTTTTTTTTTTTAATTTGTTTTTAATTTTTTTTTAATTTGATTTTTATTTTTTTATATTTATTTTTAATTATTTTATATTTACTTTTTATTTTTTTTAAAATGTTTTAATATATATTCTTTATTTTTTTTTATTATTTAATTTAAATTTTTTTTTTAATTTAATTTTAATTTTATATATTTTTTTGTTCTTTTTTTAATTTTTTTATTAATTGTTTTATACTTGTTTTAAATATTTTTTTATATTTTTATTTTTCTTATTCCATTATTTTTGTTATATTTTTAATTCTATAAAGTAATAATTTTTTATTAAATTATTTATTTTTTTTATAAATTTATTATTTTTTAATTAATTTTTCATAATTATTTTTAATTTGTAAAGCCTGTAGTTTCTATTATTTTTCTTTTAATTTATTTATTTTTATTTTTAATTAATTAATATTTTATTTGAGTTAGTTAAAGTATTTTTGTTTTATGAACCAATTTAATATTAGATTCCTATTCACTTTTTCACGTTAATATGTTGTAATTAATTTATCTTTTTTTTATAAATTTATTATTTTTACAAAATTTTTTGTATTGATTTCAAGTCTTAAATTTTAATTTATTTTTTGTTTTTAATTTATTTATTTATTTGTTTAATTAATTAATTATTTTTTAAGAAATTATTCTTATTAATCAATTTAATTTTTATAAATCCTATTCATATTTTCACGTTTACTTTTTTGATTAATTTATCTTTTTTTTTTATTATTTTTTGACTAAATTTAATTTTTAAAACCTCTAATTTTAATAAATATTACTTTTAATTTAATATTTTTTAAATTTATTTATCTTTTTTTATTATTATTTTTAATTACAATTTTTCTAATTAAATATTTTTAATTGTTATTAGTTCGATTAATTTATAATCTTTTAATAATTTATGTTTTTTAATTAGTTCATTATTTTTCAATTATTTTTTTATGTATTAAATTTTTAAAGTGTCTAAATATTTTTTTATAACAATTTCAGATGCGTGATCATGTGCCGCCCGTGAATTTACTTTGCGAGCGTATACCCCGACACGTGCTCGAGGAAAAATATGGTATCATCATAGCTAAGCCAGTCGAGGGTGAAGATGAGGAACGACTGCCACATTCAGAGGAGCTGCTGCTCGCTTATGGCTGTATGTGAACACTTTTACTATCAACTAACCGCAATTCCTCAAACATAACCTCAACTAATTACTTATTTCTTCTTTTCACACAGACAATCGCGGCTTTATGACCTCCAACGGCCAACCGGATCAATCGCGTTCTGCGCGTTACGTCTGCAAAGACTATGTTAACGGTAAACTACTATACTGCGTTGCACCACCTAATGTGCCGCAAGCAGAATATCATGTCTTCCCACCGAGAACGCGCAAAGAAATCGAAGAAGAGAAGCTGCCATGTCAACAACAACGCGCCATGCGGGTAGTTTGAATGCAAAATGTTAACAAAAAATATTTGAAACTAAATTCTACACATTCACTTTATAGATCAACACCAAGTCTGCTTCGACGGAAATCGACGATCAATTTTTCGCCGCAAATAACAGTAAAGCTTACGTAAAGGGGCGCAGCAACTTTCCACACGTGCGCGTGGCCAACGACGGCAGCTTAGTAAGCGCGCCGGCCACAGAGAAACCTTGGCGCAGCGTCAAAAAGGAGCGACGTGAGAAGTTGCGCAAAAAGTTTTCGCATTTAGATCAGCACTGAACGTCGGTTCAATGCATATATGCAAATATATTTATATGTCTAGTAGAACTAGTAGTACTGACGTTTCTTTAAATGCATTGCTTTTAGCTACATACATACATATGTCATGTGGTTTTCAAACGCCCGCTATGTATATATATGCAAATTAATTATTATAAAACTGAAATTGGATATTTTTTATATGTGTGTAAATATTTGCATTTCTACACACAAGCAAATTAGCAAATTAGTAACTATATGCATACATAGAGTTAGAACTAAATGTCAGCATCATTACTAGAATTAATTAGTATGTTAAATTTGAATTATGGCAAGCTCATGGGTGCTATATGACCTTGTTGTAATGTATACATATGAAAAACTATGAATAAAAAAAACTAATTAACTATAAGAAAGTGAGTGCGCAGTTACCTTTTGTCGCTGAATCATTCAAAGTTTTTATCAATATATTGTTATGCAAGGTAATTTGCCTGATTTAATATATTTATAATACTGTTATAAAGTCTAAGCTATTTTTTAAAAGCTTATATGAAGCTCGGAAGTATTACAGTCGTCTTATACTTTGCTACAAAATCACATTAGCGCTTGAGCTTGGTCAAACTATAATGAGGGACACAGAGAGTTGCGCTAATTGCTCACTTCCACTTCAGGTGCAGGCATTACAATATTGATTTAAATCGCAAACAAGAAAAAAGTTTACTTCGCCACCGTGGGGTTCACAAACACAAAATTTTTCATATAATAACTTGATTTTGTTTGAACAGTTTGTATGGCAGCGATAAGCTATAGTAGTGCGATCTGAACAATTTGTTCGGGAATTGTACCGTTGCTTTGGACATTAATCTATGCCAAATTTAGTGAAGATATGTCGTCAAATAAAAAAGTTTTCCATATAAGGACTTGATTTTTATCGATCAGTTTATATGACAGCTATA